CGCTTTTGCAAAGTAACTGTAAATGCACTACGCTTCCACAAGATTAAGTGCAATAAATTCTGCCATAAAAGACAAGGCTGCGTTGTTCGTCTCATGATAATTCGTGAATAATAATTCTTGATGGTTACATAGAAATATATCTGTATTTCTCGCCACGTTGGTGGTTTACGGATGTAGTAGAGTGAAAATATTGCACGTAACGTAAAACTGCACGTGATGTAATAATAACAATTAAAGATACCAATAATTAATACGATAATAATAACAAATTTTATCACAGCTTTATTCTTTTCATTTATTACAATTTTGTAACTATTACGAAGCGCGCTCTCATGGATACACGTTTTTCATTATCATTATCATTTCTAATCTAATAGATTCTTTGTCCCGTTTCATATATAGTCTATTTTTAGCGCAACTATGTAGTGTCAACCTTTTTCCTCGGGGTCGGTGGAAACATTCATCTATTTCGACTTTCGATCGCACGAACGAGATACACGCCACGAGAACCGTTGGCCAGTGCCACCCTCCTCTCGTCCGCGCACGAGAACGCTTCCACCCTGAAATTACCCGCACACAAAACCGCGCACACGCGCTTCTCCATCGCGTAATAGAATTTACGATGCCGGCACGTATACGTCGCATCGTACACTCGCGATGCATCAAAAACACCGACGAAGATGTAGTACGCGATAACACGAAGCGGCAATTACTCTTCACTTTCCGCGCGGCTTTCCCCCGCGCGTTTGACGCGCGTCGCCAACCCCCTTTCCTTCATCGCGCGCTCCCTTTCTATGTACTCTGTATATCTAGGTGCGTACGTATGCGTACGTATGCGTACGTGGCTGCGTGCGTGCTCGACAGTCGATCGATCTAAACGGGCCGGGCGTAACAGACGGAAAATCCGGTGAAAAGCGCGCGGGCTTTCACAATAAGCGGCACACGCAAACGCGCGCACACGGACGTGGTGCAGACGTCATTGTTCCAGCAGAGCCTTTTGTCAGTGAACGAATTACTGTTGCTGTTTAGACCCCTCTCTCATTTGTCCCGTTTTCACCCCCGGGCCAGCCAGTCATCTCCGACGCGCTTTCTCCCTCACTGTGCATCACCCGCGACTCTTGATTCTCTCCCTTTCGATCCTGAGCTGGGTGCCTCGTTGGCACTTTGCTATTTTCATGTTGGCAATCGCGGCGAATCTTTCCAGGATAGTCCATTTCGACGTTAATAATAATATGAATTTGTAGGCCTAATTAATGATTCCGCATACCAAATTATTTCCGAAGATCTTAAACTGACCATGTCTTCGCCAAAATGACTGCGTTTTTATCCTGATACATATGTTGAGATTGCTGTTTTATTGATTTTTTCTTCCTCAGGAAGACATCTTTATCTATTCACTTAATCCTCAAAACCTGACATAAAACTTGTAATGGTTACACTAACATTGTGCCTGTGAGACTCATTATATTGACTAAAAGATATTAATTAATTTCAAGAAATTTAAATGACGTAATTTCTATAAAGAAAAATAAAATTGAATTAAATTTAATACTTTATATTTTAATAAGAATAATTTAAATTTGCCGATGTAAAATATATAATTGAGTAGATCCAATATAAACTAGATATTTTTCATACTTTGAAATTTTTTTCATACTTTGGAAATTTTTAAGTGTAAAAAGTGATTTCAATATATGTATGTGTTATTCGGTTTTCCGTGTAAAAAAATGACCAGACGTTTAAATGTGTAAATCCATATTTGCAGTACAGTATGTTATATTTACACGGGAAACTAATCACGTACATATATTGAAGTCACTTTTTACACACTTGGATTTGGAGTGCAATGTCAGCTTCGAAAGGTTAAACGTCGATAAACTGGCGTGTTTGCAACGCGTGCGTATGAATGAGCGCAATCCGTCTTATCGGGTTACGAGATTCTCGAGATATTTTCACAGAGTAGGGAAATTCGGTGGCCGCTCATTCACACGCGCGTAGAATCGTAAATTCGCATAATAACGACGGGCTTGTTCGACGCGAGAACACTACATAAGGGAGTATAATTTCGCGCGTATCTATATGGTGACGGTGACAGAGACGTGTCTCTCCCACGCCCTTTATTATAGAAGTCCTACGCGCGAGCTTTTGTATCCCGAAATCCTTCCGTCCCCGTATCGCGTGTTTTTCGTGGCGGTTATGTCACGGCGATAATTTCCGCAGGCGGAGATAAGTTTTACGCTTCACACTTCCGTGCTTGCAAACGTGACAGTACGTCCCTTTTAGCTGCACTTTTTTATACTTTCTGCATTTTAAATACGTATTCACGATGTAGAGAGGAAGTGGAAAGAACGTAATCATAGAAATATATTCACCACTTTCCCGAATTTTCTCTCTCTCACTTTTTCTTTCTTACATTCATTTATAACTTTATTATAATCCAATGAATTCAATTTAATTTTTTTTTCGATCTAATTTCAAATTATAATTGTTCTCTAAGAGGACCAATAATCGAAATTTCCTCTCTCTCTCTCTCTCTTGCAGTGAAATCTTATTAAATATTTCACTTTCTTTCAAAAGGTGGTTGTATTTTCACTCTCTTGGAGCGAGATTTCACTGCAAGAGATTCAGAGTGAACACTTTTAGAGGAGGAATCTCGGATAATAGCTCGATTTCTAATAAATGTTGGACAACATTTAAAGATTAACATTCTGCTACGCAGATCGTAACCTCATGTACACACTCTCGCGCGAGATGGAAGCCGGAAGGGCGGGAAGATAATTTGGCGTAGGTAGGTAACGCATAACTCTGGCCGGTATCTACCTGTCAGATAAGGCACGCCTCGTCGTATTCGGGTCGACGGTGGACGCAGAATTCGCTCGGTTCGTGGAGATGGGATTCTGTATCTGCCCCTCTATCGTCGTCTCCGTTTCTGTGTCCTCGTTTCTCTTCTCTGTCTGCTCTGTTGCCTGTCTCAGCCCACTCTCGCAACCCCTACACGCTCATCGATATGCGGTTGTTCATGTCGCCGGCATACAAAACGACCCCCCCCCCCCGCGTTATAAAATCGTACGTAGGTATATACGCGTCGAATCGGCGCGCGTTGGATATGATTAATTCGCGCACGGAATTAACTCTTGTCGATAAGCATCGGAATTGAGCCCGGACTCGTGATTGCCTCGCCTGTCCGTTATGAAAAAATCGACGTCATAAGCGAAAGCGTTTTCTTTTTGTCGGAGATGGCATTTTCCTCCATCTTCCCGATATACGTTGTGTGCGTGCGACACAAGTTTCGTGCGTGTATTCAGGGAAAGGCCGCTGCTGCCACCGCTCTTTTTACCATCCCCGATATACCACGTAATATTTTACAAACGTCGTTGGACGCACATGCGACCGATTCGCGTCCGAGCGCAGATCATAAAAATCGCAGATTGCGTCTGCATCGTTGTCTTTTTTTTTTTTTACCTTCGTAGTCGATGTTATTCCTTCCATTCTCTGCTCCAATTGCTCTTGCGGAGAAAATTCTACGCGTGTAAATTTCTTGGAGAGACTCGAGGGGGATGTTGGGACGCGCTTTTTTTTTATTTCGCAATAAATTTTATTCCAGGCGCAAACGTCACGCGATATCGAGGTTTCTGCAAATATTATCGCGCGCGCTCGTTGTAAGCGAGGAAATATTGATTGCAACGTGATGTGGACGTGAGTAAGCGAAAGGGTTGATTTCCGGGTGAAAAATTACCGGCCTCATATGACTACCGCCGCATATTTCTCGCGTTGTAAAAAGCAGAGCAGAGCGGAGATATACGCGCGAAAATGTTACACGGTAAAATCGTTGTTGTTTGGAGGTATAATATATATTCCATGCATTCATGTTGTTCATAATAACCGTGTGTGCACCATCTATGCCCCATATCGATATCGGAATTGATTACTGACTGATAAATATGCAGAGCGTCGTTTCTTGGATTAATGTAATCTTCGTATGTGCAAACGGAAAAGTATTAAATCCTCATTTGATATTGTCAAACTCGAGATTTTGCGAGGTGGAAAACAATATTATGCGTTTGTTCGACGATTATAGTACGGCATCATAGCGTGCAGCGGTAGTTGCGATCCGCTCCGCTTAATAAGAATTGCATCGCGAATTTCACACAGGACATTATCAAAATAATGGTAATTTATAATGGGATTTTGAAACCTCGTTCATAAGTATTACTGCAAAATAATTAAATTACAATTAGCGCGTTCATTTGACGACGAATATAATGGTTTTCATGTGGGCAGCGAGCGAGAGAGAGAGAGAGAGAGAGAGAGAGAGAGAGAGAAACATGAAGCTCCCCTTTAATTCCTCTCCCCCTCTTTCGCGTCTGTCATTTTCTCTATATTAGCTATCGGTGTTATCAACGCGTCGAGCGAGCCACGTGCAAAATTGCATTCGCGTGCCTAATCGAGGAATAACTGGATATAATTAATTTCAGCTCGTAGAGTTAATTTTTTTTTATTTTTATATGGCATGAAACAGTTAAAAATATACCGCACGTGTCACCAAAAGTAGCCATTAAATTGTTGTAATAGCCTATAATTTAAAATGTTTCATCGCTTTTAATATCTACAGTTTTGATATTATTTTTGTTTTAGTATGATATTGTTGTTGAAATATATTTTTCCACACTGATTTCAAATACATTCTACAAAAAGATATCGGTATATTTTGTTAATAATGAAAAGTAATATTATAAAGCGTCGATTTTTTATCGATACAATAATATGATATTAATTTATTAACTGTACGCACGCTCTTCTCTCTGGGTGTTATTTAAATCTATGGTTCTATGATAAGCGTTACAGTATTGTTCAAATCACCCGTCTTCCCGAACAATTCGTAATGAAAATCAGAGTATAATACTGCTTTTGATTTTTTTCCATGCCCTACACGGAATATTCCATTTATTCGTAAAGATAAAACAAGCCGTGCTGTTTTGTTCGATGATACCGCGGATTACCTGAAGGGAAAATCGATAGAGATAATCCGGTGAGTACTGCTGCGAGTACTGATGATGTTGGCTCTGGTACTGATGGTGATGCCCGTAGTACGGCTGTTGTTGTTGCTGTTGGTATGGATGTTGCTGGTGTTGCTGTTGCTGTTGCTGCTGCTGCTGTAGGTGTTGATGATGATCATGGTGATGTTGATGATGATGGTACCAGCCATTATTGTATCCATCCATGTCATGTACCGGAGTCACGCTTTACCGGCTCGAATGCGTGCGCGATTCGACGCAAAAAAAGAAACGGCACATACACATACAGACGGCAAACATATCAATCATCTATTGGTAGGGCGCGACCGTTCGTGCCTGGGGAGCGTTATCGGATGGTATCCGCGGCATTTCTGCGCGGAATCCGCGGGATCTTTCGGTATTATAGCAATAAAGCACGCGAGTGGTGACTCTAATGGCGACTGGGTGGGCGTAGATTCGCGAAATTGATCAGATCTTTCGACTGTTGGACGTTGTTCCGGAAAATATTAGGTGTCATTAATCATCCCGATGTCTTAGGCAGCGAATCGGGACGGTCAATTCGCTCGAACTTTAACGGAAGTGAAATCTCATTAACGATTATCGAATCTTGAAACTTTACTTCGATTGGCGGCGCGTACAAAATTAAGATCCCGGAATCGGGATCGCAGAATCAAACGCTGATGGTACTTTGCACTTCCGGCGCAACTAGATTCGCAATTGCACTCTAGCTGATGACGACAGGCCAACTAACTCGCGATGAGAATTCACGAAATTGCGACGAGCTGCTGGTGGTCTTCCTCCCCACTCCTTCATCTTCAACGTGGCATTTTATTATTCCTTCTTTACGTGCCCTCGTGTCCAGTCCTCGTTACTTCTCACTCGCGCCGAACCGGTCGGTCCCGCGAGTTTTTGTTCTCGCAGGGGGTCGTTGGGAAAAGCCAGGGCGCATCAGGAAGAAAAGGGGTTACCGACACGCTCTCGACGAGGTCGGGGAATTCCTTTCGCGCCCGAAAACCTGCTGGTACTTCCTTTTCCTGATGTATATATGGCGCGGCTCATCCTCCCCGCTCGCGGAATTATGCATGCCGAATTGAATCCTTGAGGAATGGGAGACGTAGCCTCGGGGATGAATTGGGTTGCCAGTAACTTTTAAATCGCCAGGGCAACGACCAGCCGCCGGCTCCCAAGAATTTTATAAGACTATATGAATATATGCGGAAACAGAATCAAGTGTTCCTAAATGAGATTTCGAAGTTACCAAATAACTTTCATAATTTTAATTTTGAAAAGAACGAAACATGTTTATCTAAATATAACTTTGAATAGCTTTAACTTGAAAATACTTTATTATTGGAAAGAATATATATTAGAAAATCGATTGAGTTTTCTGCTACGTCAGACAAAAATATTTTCAATAGAAATCATGGATAGGACAATTTTCGAAATGTTAAGTTTCTGGAAGATGGAAGTACATCACGCGTATAAAAGGAAAAGAACGTAGAATGAGTTCTATAACCAGAACCGGAACACAATGAGAAAGAAAAATCGACATTGTTATTTGTCTTTCTAGACGACATCTACCGAACGTTACGCATGCAACAATGTCTCCTGCTATTGACGTTTTTAGTTTCTTTCCGTCCTACCCTACGTTCTCTCTGGTTCATGTGTAAACAGGTTATTCGAGGATAGTAATCGGGGTCTGATGTCTCATGGGGGTCGCTATTGGAAAGAGTTGAAAGGAGGGTAGTACAGGGGCGTATTCCGGACTAGTGGATCTCTTAGTCAAGCTCAAAGAGATAAATCCAATAACACCTAAAAATATTTGTAATCAAGAAAACAAGCAGACTTACCGAATTCTAAAAAAAAAAAGATGCAACGTCAGGAAAAAGTGTAATCGATCGCTGATTTAGTTATTATTTTCGAAAAGAAAAGTTTATTACGTAATGTTAATATATTAAATATCTGCGTGTATAATCAATAATTATTTAAAGCAAAACAGATAGCAGGTAATCACATTATTGATCATATTAAAATGTGTCCATGCTAAAAGATACTATGATGTGATATAAAATATACATATACATATACATGATTCATGAAGAAATTACATCAGTAATTTATTCAACAAATAATCCAACATAAGAAACGTTAATTAATCGTTGCAAATAATTGGGAACTTTTTAGATGATGTTACTAATTAGCTAAAAACTGGCTAAAACGCGTGGAACTTTGAACAGCATTTTGGACCTTGTATTAATTGTCATGCGGTGATCACCATTGGAGATTTACTCGCGAACGAATAGCTCTACCAAAAACATCCCTACGCGTGTATAAAGATATCCATGCGCTACGAGCTAATAAAAAACATCCTAATCGAAAAATGTGGTAATCGAACGATATTCAAGAAGCTGACGTCAGCGTTCTCGACCTAGTTTCTTTCGATCGGCTGATTTCCGTGCAGCGTGGAAGACGTATCGGGAAAACGCGATTGCGAGTAACAGGGGTAGCAGTTGTATGGGCCTCGCTGCTCGAGGGGATGGAAGCCACATATGTGCGAGCGCTCAAGATGGAACGAAAAATTCAAAGCTCTCTCGCTAGAGGAAAATCGCGAACGGCCGAGTGAATGAACGTACGAGCGTCAGACTTGGAGAAATTGAAAATCGTCAAGTACGACATGCTCTCACGCCTCCCCATCGTTGCTTATCCCGAAGAGCATTCGTCGTGGCAAAAAACAGCTGAAATGGACGAAGCGCAATGAAACGAACTGCGCGATTATCATTGTGCGCGCGCGTGTTTTATGTGTGAAACTGTCACAACAAAATGCGCGATCGAAATATATTGCACGGGAAGAATGATTTTGCTGAAGTATTTAAAAATTTAGTTGGATGTAGATCTAAAAATAATTTTTTGTTAGACTATCAAAATAATTATGTAAAGCGTTCAAGCTGGTTGCTAAAAATGTCGAAACTTTGCAACACTGCTTGAGATTCCTTCTTTTCGTGTGTTTGTAATGTCACAGTAAAGATAACAATAGGCTTAAAAGATTATTTAAACTAGTATTTTATACACGATATAGGTTCATCCATAAAAAAGTAACTTTCTTGTTTTCTTCTGACTGCATAATTAAGTTACATACAAATTGCAACAGTTTAGATTTTTTATTTTAATAGTCATTCTTAATTGCCTAAAATTTGAGAAAGCAAAAAATATAATCAAAAGATGTAAAAGAGTTAATGATATAATTATAAGCCAGCGACAGTACAATTATTCTCAAGATGTATCCTTTAACTTCTACACCCAGAGAAGAGGTTGCTTCGATTTAAAGAAATTTCGGTTAAAGAAGAAAATTTCTTTAACTTGTGAAAAAATTTCTTTGATTAAAACACATTACTTTTTAAAATCAAATAAAATTTATTTGATTTAAAAAAATTATGTTTAAATCCAAGAAATTTTTTTCTTTAACCAACATTTCTTTAAATCAAAGCAACTTTTTATCTGGGTGTACGATTAATTTTTTTTTTCGAAATATAGATACATTGTAATCGATGGAGGCTGTAATCGTGAATCAAATTGCTGTTATGTCTATTTTTATCTGACGCCATAGGCCAATTAAACGTTCCGCACGCTCGCCGAATAATGTCATTCGCCGTCACGTAAACGGAGAAATGCCCCGGCCACCTGCAATCGTAATTTCTCGGCGCTCTTTGTGCGACGTGACGTCATTAGCCGTCGGGGGTCATTGCGGCCTTTCGTTCTCTCTCCCTCGTCCTCTCGCACGTTTACTTTTTTTCCCCTATAAACGCCACCACCATTAGATTGGCGCACAATTTTCCTCACTTTTCCGTCAGCTAATTAAGGCCGCGTAGACGCCTCCTGTTTGCTGCGGTTTCGATCTCGCGTGGGCTTTCACGAACGCCACAAGTCAATTTCTCCCCGCTGCCGGGGCTCTTCGCTCAATCGCGGACGCTGAGACGGAAGTTAACGATACGCAAACTATCAGGACAGCTCTCGATCGAGGGTGACTGTTATTGGCAACCCGCCAGAAGAAATCGCAAATATCAGATCAACCTGGATATTGACGTATCGCATTTCGATGAAAGACAAAATAAAATCTTGTATGAATATCAAGGTACAGCGAAACCGCAAATTTATTTTTGATACAATCATTTAATATCAAACCACCTGCTTTTATAAACATATATCTACGAATTTCTAATTCTCTGTGTACGCTCCATAAATGTACTCGATTCCATTCTGAGAATATATTAATGTCATTTTGCAGGACATATTAGAATTCTTTTTATATTACAATATGAGTACTTATTTCATTTGTTTCATTAAATGTCTTTTTCATTTGCGATTTCACTCTGAATGTCTAACGTTGAGTAATTGTACAATCGTGGCTGCTATTAACGTTTTCAATGCTCGTTGCAGCTGCGATTGACATTAAATCAACGCCTTTCAGAGTGCAAATTCATATCGTTGTTACGACGTCAAACGTTGCGATAGACCGTGCATTTCTCTGTTCTTGCTGGCGGTCTTAATAAAATTTTCATCGCGAATTAACGAGACTCGCCAAGTTCGTGGTCGATCGCGACGTCAAAAAGGGATTTTTTTTTTTAAAAGAGTGAATAATTGTATTTAACGTGTAACGAGGGCAACACGGTTTGTGGTGCCGGTGATTTGAACGAAATTGAAAAATCGCTCGGGCGTTTGGTGAAGAAATGAGCCCGCTTTTGTCACGCCAAACGTGACGTGTTAAAAACCTACCAAAATTAAATCGACCAAACGCGAACTCGCGGCGCGACCTTAATACGCGCGTAATCCAAGGGCGTTGTTCCGCTTCGCGACACGCGCCGATAACGTGTAGGAAGTGGCCGTGTAGATTAAAAGGACTTTCATGCGAGCGCGGCATGATGTTACGTACACGAATAACGCGCGTACGTGTGCGTGCGCGTCTATATGAATTCGGAATGGAGATAATTACGTGCGTGAGTTTGTAACGAGTCCATAAAGCGTCGAGCCGTAGAATTGGTCGAACTTATTGATCGGGAGTGCGCGCGCTCGCTTTTTATCCCTCTCTCCCCTCAGCCTCCTCGTCCGGCTCGTTCGTCGTTAATTCCACTTTGAATAAATATGAATTCGCGCGGGGGCTCGCGCGCGCTAACCCCG